TGCAGTACAAGTGCTCATGGTTTTGCACTGGACTAGACCGGAGCATTCATGGTCCGAACCAAGCGGATTAGGCAAAAATCCACAGGAGGAATCCTAAATGAAGAATTCAGCCTTTTACTTTGGTCTAGAGCAGAGAAAATGGTCCGATTTTTGCTGCTACTGGACACCTACATTTCTCCTACGGGGATCAATAAAGTATCTATCTACAGTATCTTCTATCTACTATCTACATCCCACACTTTCTAGTAAGTCAGAACTTTGAGCCCAGAGCAAGTTCATGGCAAGTTTATTTGTATGGCACAGTTCATACACAAGATAATAATAACTCAAAGTAATTCACAAAAGAAAATGATAAATAATCACAGTATACTCAAAAGAGGTATGGCTCAAACATGCCACAGATGTGATTTAGTACAAGGCCATGGAGAGACTTGTTCTCATGCATAACTGCTTTGAAGTCTAGTAGGAAGCCAATGCAGATAACTTTGAACTATACAAATGTGACCGTACTTCCTGGTTCGAGTCAGGACTTGAGCTGCAGCGTTTTCTGTAAGAGCCCACAGCCTCACTTGGTACAATCACTGCTAAAAATACATTTGTAAAATATAACATGGCGGAACAAGAGATAAGAAAACAATTCAACAGTCTCTGCTTGTTCCTAAAAAACACTGCAGTTCTGACATGCATTGTGATGTCTTTGGGAAAACAAAATAATGTGATTTATAGTGTTATGGTTGTCCTTGAGCCTGGTGCCTGTGTTTCGTATTATTGCATTCCCTGTGATCTTATTGTTTGATTTGCTAAGCTGTTGTTGGCGTACTAACAATTCTGCAAAGTTCTCTGGTTCGCTGCGACGCCTGCACTTGTCATTTAGGGCAGTGTGCACCTCTACTATCAGTGTTATATCGATGTGACGTCTAATCAGCTATAAATCTAAATCTTCTTTCAAAATAACATTTACCTTTCTCCACATTTCAGCCCCATAATCCATGCATAATAATGTCCTCTTAACGCAGTATAGAAAGAATAAAGTTGCAGATCCCTTTTGTGCATTTTGTAACAATTAGTAACTGCTCTTGTGCAGTAAAGATGAGGTTATGAAGAAAGATGAACTCAGAGATAATGATTATCTACTTTCCTTCTCATGTCTTGAAAACACATCCAAAGCCACACTCTGGGAAGCCAGTCTTATCTGCAGCCTGAAACTTTGATGTGAGTCGAGGCGGTTGGTGAAAGAGTGAAAAAAGGATCATTTTCTTTGTGGTATTGTGTCTGGGAGGTTTTCTTCTCCTTTATTCCATTTTATATTGAGTTTCAGAAACGGCTGGAAAATGTCAAGATATCCGCGCTGACATTTATGGACGGTTTTTCTTTTTTATCTGCATGGCGTTACAAACATTCTCTTTCAGAGTTGAGACTGGAGATAATGCCTGCCATTGTTCATTTTATTTTATTTGTAAAGCTGTTCTGTGTTCCCGACCAATTAAGCTGAAAATTAATTTAATAGAAAATGAAATTGGCCTGGCTTGTGTGGCCAAACTAGTTCTTATGAGGAAATACTACCTTAAGGAAATACCATGTTAATCTGATTCACAGTATAAATAGATTTTTTTTATTCATCCTTAACTTGCAAAAAAATACGAGAAAATAACTAATACATTTCTCTTGATGCTGTAAAAAACTTTTTTTTTTTCAGTCACTAGTTTTTACACAGTTTTTGTACTTATTATTTTGGAACCTTTATATCATATTGTCAGAAAAGTGAATAAGACAGGACTAGTCACACTCAGCCAATCAGCTCTCAGTATGTCAAGGAAAATGCTCATAAGATAAAGAAAGCATGTTGTGGTCACAAAATGTTATTTTTGCAAGACACTTCCTGTTGGGACAAAAACATGTATTTATGAAAAGTTAAGTACCCCAGCTTTAATGCATCTGGCCACAGCAGCTGTCATCATGCGGAGCCGGTGCACGGACTTCATGGTGTCCACTTTACAAACACCCACAATAGTTCATCAACACGTTTTGTGGAGGTTGCCATGACGCCCTAGTCAGAAGGGTTGGGACGTTTCTTTTCTCAGTGTGTACCCTGACCTCCCATATCATCCAGGCCTCTGTCTTCCTGTCATCCCTTCTATCTACGTAACAGATTTCAGCTCAACTTGTCAAATATGGTTGGCACAATTTCACCTACAGACAAAGGCTCACACATATCACATATAAATTGTAGTATATTATCGTGCCTTGATTTAAACCCAGTGAGATTAGGTGTGAACAATGGAGTGCTACTTAGAAAACAGCACATTTTTGCATATCAATAGACCAACGAGGTGAATCCAAAGTTAAAGCAGCAGTAAGCGATTTGGTCGTTTCCGGCAGTTTCTTCTGCCTGAGCGAGTTAGTAGCCCCGCCCCCGTCTCCTCGTCACACCACATGAACGCGCATCGTCTTGGTGATGGCAGCAGCAGATTCATCTCCGTCAGGTCTACTCGTAAGTATATTAACAACAAACTCTGGGAGTGAAATATTAGCATAGAATAGCTCAGTTGTAACCTAGCTATAACACTGGAAGCAGCTTGGTGTTAGCTAGGATAGCATCACTAAGAAAGAGATTAAAAACAATCCAGTCTTTTATAGAATAATACTGCTTTTATAGTTGGTACACTGATAACTGTTGTGATAAACATAATGTTGCAGATTGCAGTGTGACGTGTCTCAACATTATGCACTGTAACATCTGTTACAGTGCATATGTATTAGATGAATGTAATGCATATACATTACAACAACAAAGCTTTACATGAAGGTTATTTAAAGTAATACATTACTGCGTTCCTCACAATTTGTATATTTGGAGTTCTTTATAGACAACACTGTAGTAATGTATTATGTGAAAGTAAAGCTGCATCTCACTGGAAGCTGCCTTCTCAATGTCACAAAATAAAGATACATTTATTGATGTAATCAACATCTGTATTATGTGCTTATTGTTCAGAGAATGAAGACAAAATCAAAGTGTATCAGAGCTGTACAGTGAGATGTGGGACTGAAACAATTCCAGTAAAGCTTGTCCGAAACGCAAAAGTACTGTCATAACTAATTACGTTACACTATTACACTGTAAGGAAACTCACCACTTTGAAAGAAAAGCTACAAGTAACAGAATATATAAAGTCATTTGTCATAACGGTTCTTTCAGGAAGCACTGAACGCCCTCTGTCCAGAGAAGCTGATGACCAGATCCTTTCCCTGATGCGTCTGTGAAAGGTGCCAACAGACATTGAAAACGTGCTTTCCTCAGCGGCCCCCATGGTGCACGTCCTCAGCGGCCCCCATGGTGCACGTCCTCAGCGGCCCCCATGGTGCACGTCCTCAGTGGCCCCCATGGTGCACGTCCACTCTGCAGTTCTGAAATATGTTTGTAGTTGTACTATTTCAAAATAAAAAAAAATACATTCACCTCTTTCAATGTGCTTTGTTTTATAGTAGGAAAACAAATACAGTCTGTAACGAGTCTAAGAAACTTTATTATGTAAAAGAAGATTTGAAGTTATAGCCGGAAAAATATACACAATGTCCCTACTAAGACAAATAATTACAAGTGATGGTAAGGCAACGTTTGTGTTATCACTTTTTGCTCAAATGAATAACACTGTTATTATCCAGGTCCTTATCCATCGCTGCTGCAGCGAACACTATCAGAGATATCTAACAAAATGTTAATCTTTATGTTGTAGTTTGTTTGAACACATTTCCTCAAAATAATTCATAAGCAGCCACGCACACACAGCCACAAGCACACACAGCCACAAGCACACACAGCCACAAGCACACACAGCCACAAGCACACACAGCCACAAGCACAGTCACACACAGTCACAAGCACAGTCACAAGCACACACAAGCACACACAGTCACAAGCACACACAGCCACAAGCACACACAGCCACAAGCACACACAGCCACAAGCACACACAGCCACAAGCACAGTCACAGTCACACACAGTCACAAGCACAGTCACACACAGCCACAAGCACACACAGTCACAGTCACACACAGCCACAAGCACACACAGCCACAAGCACACACAGCCACAAGCACACACAGCCACAAGCACAGTCACAGTCACACACAGTCACAAGCACAGTCACACACAGCCACACACAGCCACAAGCACACACAGCCACAAGCACACACAGCCACAAGCACACACAGCCACACGCACACACAGCCACACGCACACACAGCCACACAGTCACAGTCACACACAGTCACACGCACACACAGCCACACGCACACACAGCCACAAGCACACACAGTCACACGCACACACAGCCACGCTTCAGGGGCCCAGGTTGAAGGAACTGGAGTCTTCCTCTGGCAGAGATTTTCCTTTGAAACATAATAGAAGAGACATCAGTTTTATCTACTCAAATATGACTTTGATATATTCATCATCAACAACATCAGTATTTATTGGTCACCAGGAGTGGCCCCTGATTCACAGGATCCTTGAACATGTTTATTTGGACTGTGAGAGACTGTGCATTGTGAGAGAAAGACACTTACATCGGCTGTTTTGGGAGTCGAGTGATTATCTCACTCCTCTTGATTGTTGAAGAAACTCAGCGACAGTTTTGTCAACACTGACTCCTGGAACATGATCGATATTCATTTTGGACCTCAGGGCAGCAACACAACTGTAGGGATGAACGACACACACATCACAACATCATTATCATAATCACTGCGTCCCATATATGCATTCACAACAACCTACATGACAAATGTGGGGTGTAAAGTCTTCCTCAGGAGATGACAATGGCCGATCTTCTAATTCTGGAAGCAAAGTCTTGTCTTCGCAGTCAATACTAGAGAAAGAAGAGGTCAGCAGAAAAGTATCTAGTCGTTATGGCATTGGTTTTTTTTAAATAGTTATTTAACTTGCATTATGGAGGCTTTTGAACTCTTGTACATTTAAGACCTCATTCCAATTGATTTAGGCCATACTGGAAAAGATACAGAGAAAAGAATGCAATGAAGACATGTAAATTATTACAATGTCTATATTATATCATGCTCATAATTTATTTGGTAGTAGTCAGCAAGACTCTTACTTATTCTCAATACATAATAATAAAAATGTATGTAGTGGTCACGGAAGTTAGATTTGAGGTAAAGAGATATTGTTTTTATAACAATAAAACTAATATACAGAGTGCAAGTTGAAAAACTTAGTCATTGAAGAATGAAATGCAGACCTACATATATATATATAGTGCAAGCAACTATGTTTATTGGCAAAAACAAACGATTCATACAGATCAGAAGTGTTCGTAGCAGCCACATCATATTCACAACTACAGACAGCTAATGCTAACAGCTAACGCTAATGCTAACAGCTAACGCTAATGCTAACAGCTAACGCTAATGCTAACAGCGAACGCTAATGCTAACAGCGAACGCTAATGCTAACAGCGAACGCTAATGCTAACAGCGAACGCTAATGCTAACAGCGAACGCTAATGCTAACAGCGAACGCTAATGCTAACACCACTTCACGGGGGAACTCTGGTGATATGGTCATTTAATGTTGTACATGTGGGGAACTAATAATTGACCGGAGTTTATGGATGACTGAGGCTGGGCTAAGGCTTCGATGTTGTGTTGTCTGTTGTTGTTTCTCAAAGCTAAGCCAAGGTAATGCGCAGTTATTGCCACAAAATGCGGCCGTATTTCTACAACAGCTGGGGATTTTTAACTAGCTAACTTGGTGAAAACCCGCATTACAGTCTCAGGCAACAATATGTATAAATAATACAACTACTACTGCCACTACTGAGTAACATGCTCACCTGTTCAGTCGGAGAGAGGAATCCACGGAGCTAGAGGTCGCCAACATGAATGCAGCTGGTCACCATGTTGCTCCTACTTTTTGTCGTTCCTCTGTTTCTGGCGTTTTGCCTGTATTTAATAAATCCATGTATTTAGTCTGCAGCAGCGCTGGAGGCGGCTTTTCCTTCTCCGCCATGTTTGTTTTGAAGAGTGCGCGTGCACACACGGGAGAAACCCCTTATAAGGCGTGCTCTCTCGTCATTGGATAAGCGCATAGGATGTGAGGTTTTTTTATTAAATATGTGGGAGAAGACTGGAAGGACTGAGAGATCCGTGTTTAGGTACAAACACTCTATATAAGTGATGGCTATTGGAATATATCAATATTTAAGACGTATATTAACACCCAAAAATCGCTTACTGCTGCTTTAAAGAAGAATAAGCAAAACGATTCGACTTAAACTTGAAGAAAAACTGCCATTTATTATTCGAACAAAAAACGACGCATCAGACAAACTAGAATCTACACCCTGCATACACCCATTTACGATTCAGAACCATCAGTTTAGCGTTCAAACTGAGTGTAAATTTGCAGAAGCTAATTTCGTTTCATTTTCCTCTTTGATAAGCCCCAGTGTGTGTACCCTGGCCTTAAATTCCCCCACTCAGAACGACCTTTTATGTCATCACTGATCCACTTGTAAACAGCAGCGTGATCATATGTGCTCGAATCACACACCCAAACACTCGCGGGCCAATCCATATTCATAAGACGTCCCCAGCCTCTGCCGCTTTTTACGCTCCCGCCCTTTACCCACACGTGCCACAGAGAACACACGACCGCCACACGCGCGACACCCACACACGGCGATAACTAACAATCTCTAAGCTGCAACCTTGTTATTTCTCCTTTTCATACCTGCCTGCAAATACAGCACGCATGAAGTACAAGTGACAGTCAAGGCTGAATACTGCCCCCTGCTGTTTGAACAGAGGCACGGGTCAATCTCACCTGCTCGGCCAGCACTACACACACATATGCTCACGTCTCTCTATTAGTGTGAGGCTAGAGAGGAGTCCATTTAATACCGTTATGAAACCACAAGCAGAGGCGAGAGTGGTTTGAAGGAGCAGGTTTATACCGAGGGAGGGAAAAAAAGGGCTCAGAGATAGAGGAGGGAGGAGGGGAGGAGAAATTCAAGATTAAATTGGGACAGAAGGGCTATCTGAGTTATTAAAGAAACTTGCCCAAAGTCAATCGATAAAAGAAAAGATTGAGATGGTTAAGAAAAAGTAAAGGGAAAGTCAGTTTTAGCCCGTGGGCAAAATTATTGAACCTGTCTATATTGTATACCGTCTGCTGCTGTGGTGGTCGCTGGTCACGTAGCCAAACCTGGCAAGGCAAGGCAAGTTTATTTGTATAGCACAATGCATACACAAGGCAACTCAGAGTGCTGAACAAAACACGATATAATTAAAACCATAAATAATCACAGTACATTAAAAAGAAGGATACAAATATAAAATCCCTCAGTTGTACAGTATAAACGTCTCGTGTATTTTGTCACAAAGAAGGAAACAAATATGACTGTACCTGGTTAGTATATAATAAGATATATACAAAGGATGATGGTGACGAGAATGAGGATAGACAGTAATGATATTATACTGTATCATTTATTTATTTATAATTGTTGTTGTTGTTGAAATAGTTGTGTTACTGACCAGGCAGCCAAAGTGCATGTATGTGTATGTATATGGGGTGGGAGTTTATAAATCTTACTTCTTCCCACTCCATTCAGGTCTCCATAGGGGTGAAGCGGAAAATGTTTATGTATTTATGTCATGCAACTGAATCCTGTATGAAATTTTGGTATATCATGACACTTTGAAGCAACTGTGGTTTAAGGTAATCTCATTATTATAACAATATGCACAAAGCAGTACTTTTTCCACTACAAGCTACTGGCACCGCGGCGAATGCTGATTGGACGCTCTCCATTCCTACATGCTGCGTAATATCACATATCATATCTTTGGTCGTGCTGTCTACGATCGACAATAAAACCTGTCTTCTGTCTGAATTGAAGACACGATTTGGAAAAAAATACTGTCACATCCAGTTGCACTGCTGGATCCATTTCACAGCTATCCACAATGACAAAGCTGATTTATGTATAAAGCCAAATTGTAAAAGAAAAATATAATTCTGGTAGGTTAAATCTCCCGTGTGTGGTTAGGTCTTTGGTCTCTTCTTTGCTGCAGACTGCTGCCCCCGCGACCCGCCAACCAACAAAGAGTAAGACAATGGGAAAGGAATGTCTCCTTATGTCGGCTACTTGTTTGTTATCTACAGTACAGAGTTTATGTAACGTGTGTGTGTGTGTGTGTGTGTGTGTGTGTGTATGTGTGCGTGCGTGTTTACTCAGCTCACACCACATTTTTTTCAGATATTTGTCTTGTTTTTAACGCTAGGAACCCAATTAATTTTCCGTTTTATGTTTTACAAGCAGTTCCAGGGCTTTTTTGCTTAGCTCAGGCAATTAGCTTTGGTTGCTAATTCATTTGCAAATAAATTAACACTTCATTAATAAAGGGCACAGAATGATTGCAGAATACTGTTTTCAGCGAGCTTTACAACAGTTTTTTCAGGAAGTGTTTTACATGAAAAATGTTTAAAAAATAAATCATTTTCTCATTGTGTGTGTGTGTGAATTAATAATGTGTTTCCCAAGTCTTGTATATAAGGGTTTCCCAAGTCATTTATTATTATATACTTCTCAACAAAGAGCCGACATGGCAGCAGATCACTCTTTCAAACTGATTTTCTATGTGTTTCCATTTGAGCCAAAATGTTGCCATCGAGACAAAAACCAACACCCAGCGACGGCAAAGAGCAAAGTAGGCAAAGGAGGAGACAGGAATAATGAGAGCCTTGGATCCAATTTTGTTACTCAATTTGTCATTCTCAATGCAAACTTCTCCGGTGTTACCCAAATTACAAAATAATCTCTCTGGCTGCTGTCATCTCGGTTTGAGGCTTCAGAAGTTTTCCACAATTTCAACCAATACCTTTTGCCGCTGGTGGTGATGCCTGGAGTGAAAGCCATCAAACTGGAGTGCGTGCTGTGAGGCCGTCCCGGAGCTCGCTGTAATTGCATTGGCCCGGTGAGGTTATCGTCTGAACTCACCCTCCTCTGCAGCCTCCAAACCACTGATTGATGAGAGCCAGTGGACAGCGCCGCCATGGAGATTAATCCAGCAATAAAAGGACTATTACCTCTCATTGGGATCAGTACAGGTTCATTTGTTATGGCTTTTGATATGACCGCCCCACAATTAGAAAAGCAGGATCTATAAGTCATCATCAAGTCTGGAGAGTTGGGCAAACAAAGGGAGTTGAGAAAGTGGATTGCCAGACGAAGAGGAGTTTTTCTATATACAGTAGGTGGTTGCCATGGCTGCAGTATATGTCATGATAGGTCTAATTATGGACAGTATATGAAGTTGATGGTTGTTCAATAGAGAAAGTTTCATAGTTTGATAAATTCGCTTTCCTTCCACATCCTCCCACACTATCACACTAACAAATGGGAAAGGTTATTTTTCTCAAGGACACAGTACGAGTGGAAAATTAGGTAATCAAACAGCCAACCTTCAAAAACTTGTGGACAATAATTGAGCGTTGAGAAAAATAGCATTGCACTTAAAGCTGTGGTACCTAACCTATAGACCGCAAACAAACTAATGTGCAATAAAATCCATCCGATTCTCAGCTCTTTACCTTTAGATGCTTTCCTCAACCAGTTGGTGGATCACTCTGCGAGTCGCAATGTCTACTGTACTTGAAGCTTGGAACAGAAATTTTCCTCATTGGGGCATCTCTATCACTTGAAAATGTCTCCAGTGTGAGATCAATGAAGTGTATCTTCACTTTTCTTTATCATCAAGCTTTATCTTTTTGTTAGAAGCTTATAATTTTTTTTTTTAAAGCTATAGGGGTAAAATGTTTTAACTTTTTGTTCAGAGTATACTGTATGCTCCTACATCTAAATGCATTGCTATCTTCAAGGAATCGACATAAACTAGTTTGGTTTTCACATACTGTACACATATTTTTTGCCTCTGTCGCAGCTTTTATCCGCTCTTTCAGACACAAAAGATGATCTAAACAGGATCTTCACGTTTACAAGTTTACAAAATGCATCATGTTTTCTAAAAGATGAAAAAACATGTAGTGGTCTGATGTGTCCATGACAAGAAACATGTATTATTTATGGGGGGGAAGTTTAGTTCCTCAGCTTTAAGATGAATGTATAACCATGCATTTGCACATATACATTGAATTCTATGTGTAGTTAATCAGGAAATAATCATTTTTGGGATCAATATTATAGGTCATTGTTTCAGTGATTCAAAGAAATATCAAGAATATTTTCTTTAATCAAAATGGATCCGGAAAAAGGTTGTTTCTAAAACCTATAGCTGCCACACCGTATATATTTTTACTTTTATATTTAGAGAAAGGAAAATAGACTTGGTGGGAAGCGAGGGGATAACGATGCACACTTACAGAAGAGTATTTAGGCAACTTTTGAGTGTTATAAGTGAAAATGGCTGGTTTTTCCGTTGACAGGGAGTAGAAGCGTGGCTGGTCTTAAATGCATGTCCGTTCATGCACTCTCCAGTCTCTGGTCTAAATGAGCTCATTATGGTTCAGAGCCGAGCGAGTGCACTGTGTTCTGTGGTCAGGAGAGGCCAGGGCGTCCAGCAGAGAGGAGCAGCAAAGGAGAAGAGGGGAAAATAAGTTACAAAACGGATTTGTATAGCCCTGAAATACTATAAAGCAATGTGAAGATGGTTTCCAATTACAGTCCGAAGTCAGGGCTATCTTTACCAGACTATTGAAGCAGTTGAGGATCGTATAATGCTAAACAGAAAGAGTTTCAGTGTGTCAGACGACGTGTTAAGTCCATATCATAGTGACAGATTTATGTGTATATATATTTTTACTGGATTTAATTCTATGTTACCATTCAAAAGTTTGGGGTCACATTGAAATGTCCTTATTTTTGAAGGAAAAGAACTGTACTTTTCAATGAAGATAACTTTAAATTAGTCTTAACTTTAAAGAAATACACTCTATACATTGCTTATATGGTAAATGACTATTCTAGCTGCAAATGTCTGGTTTTTGGTGCAATGTCGTAATTGCTGCAAATGGAGGATTCTTTGACAAAAGCAAAGTTTGATGCAAAAAAAAATACAAATCATTATTTCTAACCTTGTCAATGTCTTTACTCTATTTTCTATTCATTTCACAACGTATGGTGGTGTCCTTCAGCAAAGAACCTCTCCCATTTGTTTGTGTGATAGTGAGGAAGGATGTTGAAGGAGCCAGAGAGATGTACAGACAATTTGATAATTGAAAATGCATGAAAACAATAGCAAATTTATCAACTATGAAACTTTCTCTATTGAACAACCATGAACTTCATACACTGTCCATAATTTTCATGGAACGGTAGTGTATGTGTCAAACAGAGACTACAGCGCATTGTGCGCTCTGCAGAGGAAGTGATCGGCCGCAGCCTTCCATCGCTGCAGGACCTGTACGTCGCCCGAGCTCGAGGCCGGGCTGGTCGTATCACAGCCGACCCCTCTCACCCTGCACATGGACTATTCCAACCACTCCCCTCAGGCAGGAGGCTGCGGTCCATCAGGACTAGAACCTCCCGCCACAAGAACAGTTTCTTCCCCTCTGCTGTTGGACTCTTGATCACTTCTTAACCTGTCCCCCCGCCCTTTATCAAGTCACTTTACTTCACTGTACTGCTGTCACCTTACATTGTGTGCACCATGTGCACTTGTATATTGTAAATAGTAACTGTAACTCTATTTTAAATTTAAATTTATTCTTTAGAAGTGTTTTTTATTCTTATTTTTATTATCTCTTTTTGACTGTTGCACTGAGCCAAAGCAATTTCCAAGTCTGTGACCTCCCGTTACTTACGTTGGCAATAAAAATGATTCTGATTCTGATTCTGATGTGTGAATTTCTCGCCCCCAGAAGTTATCTTGCACCTTCATTCCAGTGATTTGTTTACTGCAGATACCAAATTAACTTAAATTTGTGATAATGATGCATGTTTGGATGTAGATGGTTTTGGACATGCATCCATCCATCCATTTTCTTCCCCTTAATCCATTTCTGGGTCGGGGGGGTGGCAGTCAGAGCTGCACCCAGTACACTTAGCACCAGCCCCTTTTGGACATGGTTTCTGACAATTGTGAGGGACATAATTTAAAGCCGAGTTATCTAACTTTTAAACACCTGTTCCATTGTTTGTGGTTTGAAAGTAAGCATCCAATGGAATAACATTGATATAGATCCTCCCTTTATCACTGGTTTCTAAATGCATGTATTTCTATGCCTCTGTCAAACTATTAGCTTCCCTTTTTCCGACGGAAAAAAAGTGAAAAACCAATCAGTTCTCAGCCCAGAACACCAAATAGTTCGAAGTTCAAGGTTCAACTCTTTTGTCTCTCGGAAGGAAATTGGTCCTAGGCTCACAGTGCAGCTGGACACAAACATAACATCAGGACAACCGGCTCAAACGCACAATTTCAACACAAGAATATGCCATAATATTACACCTTTCCACTAGTGCCAGGATACATAGACACGCCAGTAAAATATCTCAGTTAAAATAAACAGTGTTCACGCATTAAATAACAGCGTACATACATTGTCCAAAGGGCTTGAGTGGTGCTGAGGAAGAAAGTACATAGCACATGCCCATACAAAGTGCTTGAGCTGTTGGAAAAACTGAAAAGCATTGCTCACACAGAGAGGAGAAACACAAGAGCGATGGAACATGGGACCAACAATAGGGGACTCGTTTGACAATAGATAGATAGATACTGGAACAAAGGACATCTAAATGTGTGGCTTCGGTCCCCAACAAGCACAGCATAGTCTCTCCAGATTACATGTTTTAAAACAAGATAAAGATTTGATTGTTCAATATTCTTCTTCTTTTTTGAGTAAAAGAAAAGTTACATACCACAAGCTTATAAAAACGTTGATCAATGTTGCAAATTATGCCGTATGTTGATAATAAAACCAGTTGTACTTATTGGAGTGCGGAAAAGCGAGAACAAAGGAAAAAACATTGATGAGCAAAAAAGCAATTTACCGTTCTGTGATATGGAGTTATTTGGAACAAGACAGACAGATTATTATCATAATTATTCATATGCGTGCTACAAATGTTGGTTTGTAAGTCCAGGCCTCTCTGTGTGTGGAGTTTGCATGTTCCTCTTTCACAGTCTCCCTTGTTTAGCTGTGCATACAACTGAGAGGTTTTATATTTTTATCTTTATCTTACTGTGATTATTCATGATTTTAATGCCTCCTGTGATCGTTTCTATCTTGTTTTGTTCAGCACTTTGAGTTGCCTTGTGTATGATTTGTGCTGTACAAATAAACTTGCCTCGCTTGCCTCTCCTCAGCACAACTATAGGTATGGTCTTATATACAGTAGTATGGCTCCAGATCCATCTTTGAACTCCTACTTGATAGCTTGTATTGGCAAAATATCTTCAAAATTTAAGAAATGAAAAATAAAAAACAATAGTTACATTTAGGCTGTTTGCAGTTGTTCAAACTGGCATTAACCCTTGGATCAAAAAAAAGTGATTAAAAGCAGTAGAAAAATACCTTAAATTTGGGTCTGGAAGGGTCTAAAGGACTCAGGGCTGGTCAGGAAAAATCATCAAAATTAATCTAAAAAGGGTATTTTTTAGGGTTATCAAAATGTTGAACCTTGTCTATTATTCATCACAATATGATCCAGTACCTTTCCAAAATGTCCGAAGAGGCATACACACAGCGATATAACGTGTTGATATCTTTAAATTGTTACTTTCTTGTTACTATTGATTGGCTCCAAAGACAGTATTTTTCCTTTGTATACAGCTGCTTTAACTCCCTCTCAGTCAATATGCCTTCAGTCGTACCATTGTTAGATTCTATACTTATACACTCGTAAATGGCCCTGCCTCTGGAAGGGAAAAGTGTGCAGCGTGAAACATTTCCACACAAAAGTGCAATATAGAAAACGACAAAACTCTGCCTTTGTCCAGAGAGAAATGACACACTTTAACAACGATTTAGCAGAATTCCCCGGGCCATAACTCGAGCGATTTGCCCAAACATCTACTGCTCCACACTGCTGAGGATGAA